AGCGCTAGAAAAGCTTGCTGCTGGGCAGCATCAGATGCGGGCAAACGAAACGGTAGCCGCGTACCATAGTCGTTTCGAGGCTCTCATAGCACCCATTCCTGACTTAAGGGAGGTTGATCGGATTTTCTGGTTTATCCGCGGCCTTTCCTCTGAGTTCTCGGGAGAATGTGCTACCGACCATGACGGAAAGCCTTTTCAGGAATATGCCAAACTTGTGCAGCACACGCTTGGTGTAGAGGCCCGTCAACTTGCTAAACTTCGTTCCCAAGCCCAAACCCGCGTGCTTCTGCGTGCTTCCACCGCTGTGCAGGATCCCGCGCCCATCATCACTGACGACGGGGACCTCCCGGCACCGGAGGTCAGGCCTCGGGCTGCTACTGTTGCCGCTGGGCGAAATACAGCTCGCCAGGCCTCCGGTGCTGGTGAGTCGAACCGTGGGCGCAGGGGTCGGGGTGGCAAGCATAGGGACAAGGGTCGGCCCAGGGCCGCTGCCGCGGGAACAGGGGCGACGGTGCTAGGCAAGCGTGGCCGGGATTCGAATCCGGCCGAATGGATGAATAAGTTTTACTGCACTCGGGCGGAGTACGAGTACCGCCGGAAAAACAGCCGTTGCCTCCGCTGTGGGGAGGATAAGCACCTAGTAGCAGAGTGCCCGTTGCTGTCAGAAAAGAGAGCTAGGAACGGGGAAAAATAGGGGGTTGCCCAGGACAGTGTTAGGGAAGCACTTCCTGGGTTACAAACCCGAATGGTACCCCTTATCTGCCCGGTTGGACGTGCTGTCCGTGCTGTTTTACCGGCCGTTTTAAACCAAGTTGAGAAGGCCGTTGGACGGCGTTTTTCGTTTGACGCTCGTACTGCTCGTCCTGGTTTTGACGAGCACTGTAATCTTTTTGCTATTCCACGGCGTCTAACCTCTAGTAACTTGGGTGGGCATACCGTTTGGATTTCCCCTTCCTCTTTCAAGGAACTTCAGTCTCAGCTGGCTTACTATCGTATTTGCAAACGTCAGCGACCGGACACCGCTGCCTGTCTACTGTTACCAGCACATGTATCCCCGAGGGCTGCCTCCTTGCTGATAGGGATGCGTCGGGTTCTTCAGTTTCGTGCTGGTAGCAAGCTTTTCAACGGTGTAGACATGACGGGTCAACTTGTTTCCCTTCCAGGTCTGCCGTATACTGCTGAC